GAATTGGCATAAAGATGGATTGGCCAACATTAAATAAAACATTAATAATGATGCGAATGTAGTAAATATTTGAGGAGATCGAGGTTTTTATACAACCACGTGGACTAACCGCAAATAGATTAAGTTTCGCCAGCGGATACTAGTGATTATAACTCACAAACCATATTATGTACGCGGTACGTAAAACTAGTCCAAACCCCAATATCTAATAAGACATGTAATTATGTACTTATGTATGATGATAGCTATTTCCCATATGATACTGACTTTCGACAGACACTCCCGTATGATAACAGAACTTGTTTGAGATGCAGCGTCAACCCAACCTGTTCAGCAAAACGTCCAGAGAGAAAGAACAGAAAATGAGTAACAATAAATGCTTGAGGTAAAACGTCTCGGAATTTTATCGTTGCAACAATGTAACATAACGATGTCTTTTCAATTGGAAACCGTAACCTCACCGTTTCTATAAAATTGTTTTCTCAGTTGTTCGAGAAATCTACAAGATAGAAGATATATTGATAGCAAGCTGTGAGATTTTATATAAAGTAAATTGGATAATGTTTCTGTCGAAACAAATCTATTGCTAGCTTACCGCCTGCGGCTCTGCTCTCGAAGTATTTAGATGATTTTTCTACAGCAGATCTTGATCCTGTTTGAATATCAAGATAACATGTCTATATTAATTAATATTATATTAAGCAGTTTCTTAGAGAACCATAATAATGTAAATGAATAAACATACCTACTTCATAATATTTGTATAGAGAGCTTTTAATAGGCATTTGTATATAGATATCTTAATTAATTATTTTAAGATGATGTAAGTCAATACAAATTGAGCTGGCGTTTCGCTAAATTAATTTAATTTCTGCCTGACTAATAATAAACACGGTGTTGCGTTTCCATAGGCTGTGTATAAGACCAAACTACTATTTTACTATTGATTAGTATTACAAAACGCAACTGTTAATCGTGAAGTTGCAAGATATTCAAACCACAAAATGTATAAATCGAAATAAAAAACTTACATTCCTGTGTTCGTTAAATATCACTATCAATTTCGGTACCTACTTTAAAAAGAATGATGAAGTATAAATATATATATTTTGTTAACGGACCGGCAGCACTTAATATTGTTTTTTTATATTACGGATATTGTTTAGTATAATCTTATTTTACATTGAAATAAATTACCATTAATGTAGAGAGAGAGAAAGATCAAAGTATTGTTTTAAAACATTTACTTCATAGCCCAGCTCGAGAGCAGGATTAAAATCTGTGTGATTCAATTTACAATTACAATTATAATAAATGTCAATGAGAAATCAATGAAATAAATAACAATTTAATTTCTGGATTCGGCGTGAAATAATGAAGGTACCGTTGTCTCGAATTTCCCAGTAGTAACATTATCTGAATACTAATTGAATGAATGATCGACAGCAAAAATAATGGGTTAAATCTTAATTCGGGTTCCTGGCTTCGTGATCCTGAATTTGAGGTTTGAGTTAGCATATTTGTATCTTTAAACAGTTGAAGATCCTAATTTAGGTCCAGAATTTGTGCGGACGAGGGCCTTATGTGATTTGTTTCCTAAACAGTTGCGGAAGACATTCGACGTTATTTGAATTCAATCCGCAAAGCTTGAACCACGAGTTGTGGTCCCGATGTTCTTTATCTTCGAAAATATTCAACCTCCAATTTGTAAAGGTGAATCTCAACAATGGAATTTTAAGAGGATTGTAATCTCCAAAAATACTGAAGTAACCGCTAATGACGTAACTCTTTCACGGCTATTGTTGGAATTTTTAGATACTGATAAAAAAAGGTCCTTATTTTTGAGGATTTCGAAATCGAAAAGTATTATGATGATGACAACACTATGAGAACTGGTTATTGGGGAGGTCTATTTTGAACAGTGGGCATCTTGTAGCTTACGAGCTTAAGTATCTGATGATTGTTACATGTATGTTTAATCTGTATCAACATCACTAATTAGTGAGTAGTGGCCCCCTCACTATAATGTGTTATATAAGGTAGGACACTCGTCATTAACGCCGCTGTCTATCTGTCATACTCTGGTGTGTGTACACGTCGTGCGCCCTGCACATTATTGTAATAAATCCAAGTAAAATAAATCCGACTATAATTTATTAATCCACCAACATAACAATGATGATAACATTGATCTAGTTACAACAAAAAAGAGCTTATTTACTAGTCGAAATCTTATAGCGAACAAATACTTAAACACATTAATAGTACAAATAGTTATCTCGACTCAAAGGTCTAACTTACCACGTAGTGCTTAACATATCTCGTGAATAAATAAGGTTAATGCGGAGGATGGCTATCGTTTCAGTGTGATTAATCCCTTGGTCGATGTTGCAGTCACTTTTATGATATAATAATCCCTCGGTTACGTAGTAGACACCCACACACTCGCGGGGCGGACCTGCTACAGGCACTACGGGATAATAACAAAACCGCTTTCAAAATAAAACATTAAATATGGTGTACAGTTTTTTCTTATAGTATTGTTATTTAAAACGTATAATTAGTAAAAAATGAGAGAAAAACTGTAGGCAGATAACTGTTGCTGCTACTCCCACGCACTCTTAGAAATAAAGCGATAGGTATCTTAATGTTCATAAGATTCTTGAAATTAAATTATCTTATATACATAACATTTAATTATTATTTTTTATTACAAGAATAATTTACAGAAGGAAAACATACGTTTCAATAGCTATTACTTCGAACACGTCGTTGCTTATAATATTTTGTTTCTGCACTTTAACAAAAGTACTAGTAAGTGTGATATGTATAATGGGATTACTAAGATACCTATTAAAAAAAATCAACTTCTTGTAATAAAAAATATGTTTATGTTTCTAAGTATACGTATTTGCTAAGTATTAAGGCATAATTTAGCAAAGCTCCTCTCACACGTAGAAAAATAAGCTTGACAACAACGCGTGCTTAAGGCAGATTGGCGATTTAGGACGTAGGTATTTAACTCATTAATTTTGGGAACCTTTTGCTAATATAATTATTCGTTACTAACTGAAATGTAACCAAGACTCATTTTAGTCAACTCTTTCTTGTCAACCAAATATTACGGAATCATTCAATTGCTAATATCTTGATACTTTATGATGAAACTTAAAATTAAATAATAAATGATTTTAAAAAGAATCTATTCAGCATCGTTTCAGAAATTACTTCTTTATATTCTATGAAATTCAAACAATCAGGACTCTACACTGTACAAGAAAATGACCAAATTGCGCAATATATTGCACTGTTTCGTTTCCTAAATTCCATGAAAGCTTACGTGTCATGTTTATCAAAATTCGTCATTACTTTAGTGGCAATATGACCTCATATTGTTTGTAACTTACCATGACAAAGCCAGCCGTTAGAAACCCTACACACCGCCATATTTCCTAGATCAAAGGAAGCTTTTGCGACGAAAAATATACCAGGAAGCAATACTGACATAGGCACGTACATATAAGCGATCACACAGAATTTGTAAGAGTACCTACATATGTAGGTACCTACAGTCACAATATGATCAGATACATTCATATTTTTGCTACCTGACTGCCTCGTTGGCCGAGTGGTGGCAAGTGCGACAGCCGGGCAAGATGTCTCGGGTTCGATTCCCGGGTCGGGAAAAGTATTACTGGGTTTATAAAAAAACATCAGCACGGAGCCTTGAATTGAGCCCGGTGTATGGCAATAGTCACACCCCCTGTTACATGGGACATATAACATGAATGGTGAAAAGCGGGCATTACATTGCACAGTGGTACCTATTAAGTGCCGTAATGTGAACCTCTGCCAACCCCTTCGGGGATAAAAGACGGGATGTTATGTTCATTCATTTTTTCTAAATATCCGTTACAAATAAACAAGTATTTGTGAAATCACAAGATGATATTTTCTTTGTATAAACCTGAAAGTGCTTATTTATACTTTGAAATAAATGCCTCGACTTTGATTACAACACTTAATATTACGAAATTTCGCTGAAGTTACACTTCCACGTCTTTATACAAAGATTTTCGAGACGGCACCAATCTCAAAATTACCTGCCGATGCCCGCCCGAATAGGATTTAATAAAACAAATTACGAAAGACGAGTCCTCTTTTACCTTCTGCCTCTGTGCAGCTTTTGTGTCGTTGGAACTCGATCTAGTATTATTATAGCATTTTATACGGAGCTGTTAACAATATTATGAGAAAAGCCGTGGGTGGAGAGATGAAGCACCATGACACGCAAAATTTTATTGTTATGTAGCTATAGAGAACTGAGGTTTGAAGAAAGTTATCCCACTAACTTGACTCACAAACATGTGACTCACGCGTCCACATAAAGTTCACGGATTTTTTCTTTCCACGAAAGTCAAATGCTCGTTCCAAGTCCCGGATTATTTTATATGTATTATGTGACGCACAAATTAATTTTTATAAAAGGTTTCTGGTTATATAAGTAACCATAAAAGAAATGCATAAAAATAAACTTAATACTATGCATCACTAATGAATCACAGTATTGTCTTCAAGTTGGAACTAATTAGCTACTTGTGTATTCAACCCTTGACTTTTCATTGAGTACTTACATTTTTATGAATATGACGTAGAGACTGAAACTTATTCACCTAACCCTTTACCAATATAAACAGAAAACAATCAACTTATTGACAAAACTGTTATAAATAGAACATGTTGTGTAAACATCAACCTTTGACACTTCGGTAGACGAGTATAAAAATGCGAGACGTTTTTTACGCATTGATCGAAATTTGTGAGAAATAAATCGTAGAGTCCAATTTGCGATTTTATGTGAAAAAATATTTGGTGTGATATTATGTGATGTAAAGATTGTGGGGTAAATGGCGTGACGGTAGAGCCGAGCCGTGGGCGGGCGGGCTGCGCGGGCTGCCGGCGGCGCGCCGCCTCCAGTAGCTGCCCGCCGCCGCGCCAGTCGCACGTCCGCGCCGCTGCCTCCCGAGTGCTCGCCCTGCGCCCAACGACCGCCACCGCCGCGCCTCTACCGCGCCGGCACAACAAACTTCAGCACCGTGCCCTTGTTATATTTTGTGCTTCTAATTGTTCACCACGACGAGGACGCACGCAAGGATCGCACTGACAACAAGTAAGTTTATGCCGCTTCTTTACCGCTCACACTGCCTTTAAACTAGCCGATTTCGACAACAAATGCTTCTTTGCTTTCAAAAAGTTGTATTTTAAGTTCTGCCTATGCCTATTTAGTATCGATGAATGTTATAATTCAATAAAAGCTGTTCTCGTAACTCTGGGATTAAGTTATCGCAATTTAGGTTAAACTTTGTGTTGGTTAAAATTCAAACAAGTTACGGAAACAACTTTTAATTGAAGCAGTTATAGACTCGTTAAGTTATTCTTATTTTTTGCTTTCTATTTTCGATGTGCTTATAAATAGACGTTTCTTTTATTAGTGAACTTCCTAAGAAGGGACGATATCATAATATACGCTTGCTAGCTGTGACTTAATGAGAAAAACTTATTCTTTTTGAAATATTGCAAAATTTTCAACACAATATTGGTATTTACATTAAATACATGAGAAAACTCAATCTCAAACATAAATTGGCCAAGTTTTAAGGTGTTCTCAGATCAAAGTTTGTCTTTTAACTACTACCCACATATTCTTGAAATTCACAGGTAATACAAATGTGATGCGTATTAAATATCAGCAGATCAAAACTTATGCCGATGCTTGAATATTAAGTAGTAAAAGGAAAGTAGGTATACCTAAATAGCTTTGAACTGAGAATTGACGTCAGTTGTCTAAGGTCACATTGAAGAAGAACATCGCATTTCTATAGGTACCAGGGAACAATATAATAGTATTTCATGAACTACGCATCTTCTGCACAAATATGAATGATTACAGCACGGGAAAGCTCCTATTTGGAGGATGGAAACAAATATATAGTCGTAATAAAACTCTGCTCACAGTCCCAGGTGTAGAGAATATTCGAATAACAACGATACCCTAAAAATTGATTTGTATTTCGTTTTGGAGAAAATTGAATCAACCACAATTTTATGGTTGGTGCTCCGTTCGATAGGCATTGACATCATAGGACGGACATGAAGGTTGTAAAATATTAATGTAATTGAAGTATCGCGTAACTAGCGTGAAGAATAAGAGCTTCGTTTGTGGGGAAAAGTATGAATTAACAATGAATGATTAATTGCTGCGAGATATGCGTGTCACGTTCTGAGAAATGGTAGCAGCTCTGTGGAAAATAATACTAGTATTTGAACTCTCTATCTAAGTATCTACCACGTATCGCAGACTCCGCTCCCAGCCTGGGTTTATGAAACCTTTTCAAAGCTGGGGCTGTGATTTTCAGTAGCAAAGCTCTGTAAAACTATCAGACATGACATTTCTTTGGAACCGAGGTTTTCGGGGCGCAGACGTTTTCCGGTTCACTGAACACTGTTTTACTTTCATTCAAGTCCTTTACTATTTCCATTCGAGGTCGCGTTTGATATTGATGTGATGATTTTTTTTTGACGTAGGCCAACGAAGGTTAAGATGTCGAATTTATTTGTTCAACATCATAAGGATTCTTCTTAGTAGTTATTATCTTTATAAAACTTATTTTTTTGACTTAAATATTCCTTTAGTTGATAAAAACAGAATGGCTCATTTCAAATTCTATTCAAATGCTGTGCTAAAATAAGAATGTTATTTTTAGCAGTGAGCCGAATTATTTACTCTGTATGTAACTGTTAGCATAAACCTTTATAGTAAGGACGTATCTACGGGTTTTCTAGACATCGTAATAAAGTTGGACCCATGCGGCAGGGTTGTCTTTTGAGATAAATAAAGAAAGGTCTATTTATAGAACGCGTATGCGTGACGTCATATCCACGTTGTTACATATACATAAGCTGGTGGAATTAAAAATAAGGTTCGTTAGTGTTTCATTCATGTTAAGTAACACAATGAATGGACTAAGGGTCGGCCAGCCGCAGAACCGAGTGTATACTCCTTTACAGTTCTATTATATTGTCCGGGTATTATTACTGAGATGTGTTTTCAACTTATTAAAGGGCAACCTTCGTAGACAGATTTTTCATATATTATAATAATATCATGGCTCTGAAAACATCACCTATATTACACCTACATAAATTGTTATCGCATTACGTTTTAATTAAATTAGATTTAATATAGCGTGTAAAGAAAGTTCAGAGGTATCTGAAGGTGAGCTTGTTGTTAAGACGTCACGAATAAATCGTAGGCAGCTAACTTACTTTAAATGAGCTACCTACGTCTTATTCAGTCTCCAACAAATTATTATTTGCTTATGTATTTAATAATATATTGCTTCAGTTATAGTTCATGTTGTTTTAAGTTACTATTGCAGCTTACAGAAGCTCGTTACATTTTTTATGTCCCTATAAGTTTTCATTAAAACGCCTACTCTCGGCAACTGAATTTTTTATGTGTTTCATATTTTTTTGTAGCTGATCTCTAGGTGTTTTTAAGTTCTACGTTTATTTATACTTTGTTATATTTTCTAATATCTTTAAATGCACATGGGTATAAAGACAGAAAGTTGTGACATTTAACGTAATTTTAAATGGGACTTATTTGAAGTAACTAATTATGACATCGTAAATGACAACTCGATGTTTCTAAATGAAGTACACAGAGTAGTCTTAGATGTTCCATTTAACTCGGGCGTAATTAAAACAATTTTTACTTTTCTTTGTGATTAATTTATCTTCTCAGTATTCAACAATGAAATAATAACAAGAATCCTAATTTTGATATAAAAGTATACGTTTACAAGTTTCATAAAATGTAAAGACGTTTTTATAAACCAAATTATAACTGATACAAGAAATTGAAGAAAGAATCGTACCGTAATTAGTTCATTTAGGACGTGCGCAAAGAATTTTGAAGCTCTTCATTTTCGAGATAAGGGTCAATGTCCTTAGCTGACCTTTAGGCTTACTAAGTAGCACCCATTCAACAAACTTTTGCGGATTAATTTTCTTTAAAAATAATAATAATCTGTATTTGTCATAAAACATAACGAGAAAGATATCGTATAATACATAAGTATTATTAAATTAATAAACCCCAATCTTCATCTCAATGAACGATCTACAAAAACAGAATGAGTAATAAACTAATCCTCTTGCCCGCTACGTGATAGCAATTATACTTTTAGGTTTCTTAGTACGACCTTTTTTGTGCAGAAATAATCCCAAAAATACTTTAATTTATTTGTTAAAGTTATAAAAGTAATATATTTCGTTTCCAACTTTAGATGATTACATTCCATTAAAATCTTGATGGTACCTTATTCCCAAGGAGACGGTAACTTCGTTCGAGTGAGGAAACTCCAGGTTGACTTAGTAAAAATTTGAGGGCCATTTCCTAAAAATATTTGAATGAATATCTTTAAGAGTTAAAGAAATTCTTGGCATCATGTCAAAAGAGGATTATAAGAAAACGTATTTGAAATTAAGTTTGTTAAATTTTGCTACAAGTTTAACCATGCAGTCATACAGTTTATCTAATTTAACACAACAGTGGGTCCCCAAGGATCTTTTCCGTTTTCGTCCAAACACAATTTACATCTGTTACCCGTGTTTGTTTTTTCTATCAACCGAGGACGGGTTTGTTTCGTATCTCGGCCGTTCTAGAAGGTTCTTTTCAATGTTGACTTTAAGCCGCTAAAGCGTTTAACCTTTTTTTATTCAATGACATTCTGGACCGGTGGCATTCAAGTTTAAATATGAATTACAAAGATATAGGTACATTGAAAATCACTACCGCTCATTTCAAACCAAAATAGGCCAAATGTGCAAATTGAAATTGAAAATGTGAAA